CAATCTGTTTTATAATCCATGTACACCACAAGTGATTGGCTTCTCATATAAAAACATAAGTTTCAAAACTAGGGATATAACAGAAATTTGTTGTGCATGCTTGAAAGATTACTCTAGCTATGTGACTTTGAACAATACTGGATGACATAAATATCAAAATGGTTTACAAATTATGTAAGTACACCTAGTAGGCTATACTTCATTAGTTCCAGGTTTACAGTTGTGATATCGTGAGATGTTATATTGTGACTTTATTTTAGACCGGTGTAAGGAGGTAATTAATTCTTTATGTTATTGTCATTAAGTGAGTAATGCGTCACAAAACAAATAATCAAAACATTTCAGAGGTGGGGGTGCCAAAAGTGTCTTTCCCCCGGGTGCTGAGAACCCTGCTATGCCACTTACTATCAACACTTACCATTTTATGATTTTCTATAGAACATTCGCTTGAAGTACAAAACATACCATAAACATTTACATTTCACAATACGTTGGTGTTTAAGAGTACAACGTATTTAATATAAACGAACTTTCTTTATTATAAATCAAAATGTCTGCAATGATTATCTTGCACAGATTTCTGACACACTAATACTGTCCAGAGGTCAAACTCAAATGATGTTGGTTATGACTCACGTTACAGTTTGGAGGATTAGCCTAAATTATGTGTAATTTGTAGAACAATATGCACAAGACCTTTACTATGAGCAGTTAATGACTGAACTGTCAGATCTAGTAGCACAAGGATTAGCATTCCAGAAATCGAAGTCACCCTTGAATTTATAATAGACCATTTTTGTGTGATTACATACTTAAAGGTTTTTGTGCATTTTGAATGTTCAGTTATTTTAGTGATGCTGATTACATTTGCAATTAAATATGTATCAAATATTAGAGAAATGAATGAAATAATCCAAACTACATTACTTTATTTATACAGGGTAAAAACATAACTTTTCCAGTTACAGATATATAAGTGTCACTCTTTAAATCTATAATTGCAAAATCTGTATTCACTTCAACTATTGGATTATGATGAAACATGCGTTATATATAAGAAATATAAATAGAGACTTGTATTAGTTGTTTAAACACACTTGTTAGAAACTAAAGTGTCTAAAACAAAACATGTTACAAAGAGGATATAAAGATACCGAAATCGATAGACAAATTGAAAAGACTAACAACACTCAGTGAAAAAACATTCTAAATCAGAGCAATACTAAACTTTCAAATGTAATTCCTCTTATTATTATCTATCAGTTTAAATTCAGAAACGTTTCACGAATTCTGAAAAAAACATTTTCATCTCCTACAGCTCAACGATCGTCTTAACCAGATATTTCCTGCAGTTCTCATTGTCTTCTTCCGAAAAAGCAGAATTCTAAAAGATATCCTTGTTCACACAAAAGTGAATTACATCCCACTCAAAAATGGTTATCATCCATGCAGTAAAGCTCGTTGTCAAACCTGCAAGTTCATAAAACTACTGACTGATTTTCTGACAAGCACAACCAAGAAACTTTAAAATATTCAAAGAAATCGCTTGTGGAATACAAAACACCATTTACCTTATACAGTGTAAAAAATGCAATCACCGATATGTGGGACATACACAAATGACTGTTAGAGAACGTTTCAACAACCATAAATCTTCTATTAACATCAAAAAGATCTTATTGCTCAACACTTTAACCAACCCGGTCATTCCATTAACGATTTTGTTCTCATCATATTTAAACAGGATTCAAACCTAAAGCAGATAGAGATATAAAACAAGCTTATTGGATTGCTAATCTAAACACTGTTCAACCTTTTTAAATTAATCTAGATTTTGGAATCAGTGATCTCCGTTCATTGGTTTCATCTCTGTCAGAAAAAAAATATTTTTATTCTTTACTTATTTTTTCATGTAATGTGAACGCTGAATTCCTTAAAACTTACTATATCCAAGATAATTTTTCATACCTGTTTTTATTATAAATTGATTAGCATAACATTTTTTTTTAATCAGTCTTCAGGTGTCACTTTTATTTCAATTAAACACTTAAGTATAGTTTTAAATATACATATATTTAGCCATTTCTAAAGTAAAATATTCCTAACACCTTTTCACATACACTCTTGCCATCAGCTACATTGCACCAGAAATGAGAGGCTTACAGTACATAGAGAAATAGTCTAAACATTT